CAGCCTGTCACCAGCTCATCACTGGTTTCCCCCTATAAAAGGGAACCGAAACCCTAGCCCCCTTTTTTGCTGATGCGTTTTCCCCCTCTCTCTCTCTTCGATTCCAGGCGGCGGCACTCTCCCTCCCTCTTCTCTTCAGCGATCTCTCGTTTCCCCCTATAAAAGGGAACCGAAACCCTAGCCCCCTTTTTTGCTGATGCGTTTTCCCCCTCTCTCTCTCTTCGATTCCAGGCGGCGGCACTCTCCCTCCCTCTTCTCTTCAGCGATCTCTCTCTCTCCCTGTTCTCCTGTTCTCACGTGATTGAGAAAGGAATATAAAGGAGGAATTTATTGTAGAGGGGTATTATAAAAGAGGGGAATCTTCACTGTATCTACAGTGAAAGATTGTATTTATTGAGGAATCTCAAGTTTGAGATTCGCTCTTGAATTGTAATTTCTTGTTGAGATTAAAAAGAAATTTATTGTGTGGCTCTCGAGGACGTAGGCAGTTGCCGAACCTCGTTAAACTTGGTGTATTTTTTCTATTCTGCGTTTCTGCTGTCTTAGGGGTTTCGGCGTTAAATTCCTAACAACATTCCACTCTCCCTTTCTCAAAGAATATTCACAGAATAATATAGAAGCATAAATAAAATGACGCTGGTAATTTCAGTAAAAAAAAATGAAATTTTATTAGAATTCGCAAATCTTACACAAAAATAAATTAACCCGTATCTAGGATTATTCATGATGATTTTTTTTTGATGTTAAATGTGGTCGGCATGTGCTGGATTCGGATCCTCTCCACTACAAAAAAAATAGTGGAGGGACCACTACATAATCACAGCCATTGATTATCTAGTTGATGGTTATGATTTTTTTTAGTGCAAATTAGGAATGAGTGCAATACACGGGGGTATGGTAAGTGTTAGATTTAGATTGTATCATAACCGCCTACTAAATAATCAACGTTTGAGATTAAAAGTTGTGGTCTCTCCACTACTTTTTTGTAGTGGAGAGGATCCAAATCCGCATGTGCTCGAACTTGTGGAGTTTTTTAAAAAAAAACGTAAATTAATTGGCTTTCCAATCGTCCTACGGTGAGACGTACTATAGAAAAATTCCTCATGGTACCAATTTTTCTTCGATGGTTCACATTTCATATTTCTTATTGAAGTTATGCTCAACCAAGGGCCTCTTCTTTAGAATGCAAAATTACAAAACCATTTGGTTTTGATTTTATATTATTTTTGTGAAGTTTGTTTGACGGGGTCCGATGCAATTTTTCCAGTGCCACCAAGATGATTGAGAGAAGATGTGAAGGAGATGATCACGGTCTTTTGCCCCCTTATTTTGTGCTGTTATGCTTTTTACCAAACTACTCTCACCTCATTAAATGATGACAACTCATTTTTGATCAAATCTTAATCTATCATATTAATTCGACGGTCAAAAAATAGATTGCACAAAGACTTCTATCCACTTAAATGGATAGTAGCTCAACTCTCTCTCTCTCTCCAGAACTTAAGAGGGGTTTTGTTGGGGAAAAAAAAGCCTGGGGAGATTATGAGCAACCACCCAAAACTTCAAAGGATGTTCTGTGAAATTGACCCCTTGAAATTGTTTTACCTCATATTAACCAATGATCATATTTATTTTTCTGATTTCAATACCAATCTAGCTTGGCTTCGTTGTGACACTATAAGATTGCATGTTCATATCTTTAAACTCGGGATCCCTATAAGCAACTTCTCCAGCACCTCGATACGAAGCGAAGTTCATACACACAACAAACGGAGCAAATAAAAGCATAGTTTAAACTTACATACACAAAACAGAACGTTTACAGAAATATACTACTGATATCCACATAGCATTATAAAAGTAGCGCACTTATTTCCTTCATGAATTTGAAGACCGTATTTTGACATCGGAGAGCCAAGCAACTTCTTTAATTGCAGAAAAACTTTATCCAGGACTCTCATACACAACCCCGGGCATCCAGCCTCCTACGCCGCCCCTGTTGCCTCTCTTGCCGCAGTTTCATGCTTGCTATGAGATTTGGGTGGCTTTGAGATGAGCACAGGACAGTTTGCATGGTGCGCTACATAGTCACTGACGCTGCCTAAAAATGCCCTGTAAGTCGATGTAAGTGGTGAGAAGACAGATATCAGTTTGCAAAGTCGATGATTCAAGTACTCGAGATTCACATTCGGCATTCTTATAGTTAAGGATATACACGGTTAGTATTCTTCATGCAAAATGTCGATCAGATGAGATCTTGCATTATACATTTGATTAGTCCAGGGTAGCACCTGATCAAGACAATCGATATTAGCACTCTCTTTGCGAACATAAAGTGTAAACACATTCAAGCAAAGGTTCATAATTGTTATCCTGGTATGATATTTTTTGGTGCGTGTAAATTTGTATATATACGGCGTTCTTTCATTTCTATATCTTGATTTCTAAGGACTTTCAGCACTAATAGAGATCTTTTCACAACGCTTGACAACAATAAAAATAATCTCGCCTCTGACAGCTTCGCTGCAGAATTTATTTGGTTTGCGTCTGAATATGCATTAGCTAGGAAGCTGAAAAGAAGACCATCGGCATTCTAATTGTATACATGATGCTTGAGAATACTACCAATTCTATCAAATAAAATCAACCTGGCTGCATGCACTTAAATGCTAATCTAATACAATATCAAATGCATTACACTGGGACATGGGGCCTTGGCTCAAAAGGCAAAGGGTCGATCCGTGTCTATGGCATTGCCTATCTCCAATTTTCAATTTCCATTCGCTTGGGTCTGGACCGCAAAAGGGCCTGGCCCTGGACTGCAAAAGGGCGGCTAGGCCCAGGGGTTACTTGGCTGGTACTAAGCCAATGTTCCCCTCACCAAAAGAGAAGTGCATAACACTCAATAGTCATGTAAATAAAGAAAAATAAAAGGAGAGAAAAATAACGAACAAAACAAGTAAAAAAGGTTCCCAAAAACATAGAGAACGACCGCATGTAGTAAAGACGGCAGCAATAAAACTTCCCAGAACTCAGATCATCATATATTCAGTTATTGCCGCTAAAACACTAGCTCAGCATGAAATGGATAATTTCATTCAGTAAAATAATTTAACCAACATATATCATGAAAAAAAATACAGACCTCCTGAGCATGGAAAGACCACGACTTCCTACAACGAGAAGATCAGCATGCATCTCCTCTGCAGCTTGGCATATCACATCCTTTGGGTCTCCCTCCAAAAGCATTGTTTCAGGCTCAACCTAATAAATAAAATTTTAGTACCCATGACATTGCTTTCTAATATCGGTCGGAAATCATGCGTGCAGTCAATCTTACCAGCCTTTCTTTGCAAAGTTGCACTGCCTTAGATATCACAATCGCCGAGTTCTGATCTTGAGCTTTCTTCACAGAATCTCTGACAGAGGGTGTCGCATATACAGCTGGTAGAACCAGTAGGAATTTAATCAGGGAGTGTAAAGTAAAATAAGTTGGTCGACAAATGTATATTGCTAGAAGGGTTGCTTTCAATTTGGGGTGTTCTGCACATAAGCCCGCCAATTTTTTTCTCACTTGACCCCCTGAACTTTACACTTCTCACACCCGACCGTCTCCCTACAATTAGTAAATTAACTAAAAATGTTCTTGAGAGAAAAAAGTCCCTAATTTAGGCATTTCAAATTTAGGCACTTGCCATTTACCAGCAACATATATATCTCATATCCTCTCGAATTCAGAGTTTTTTTTTTCCTCTCAAAGAAGTTTTGGTTATTTGTGAATTACACGTAGGGGTTCGCGTAGAAAAGCATATCTAGGAGAGTACATAATTTCGCATTTAATAATTGGATGGCTTCCCAGACGCGTACTCTCGTCGTTTAAGTTTGATTTTTGAGGGGGAAAAAGTCTTCCAAGGAATTTTCTTTGGTTGATATCTTACTTTAGATCCTTTGACGGAGCAACCAAAATTAAGTGTTGGTCGATCATTAGCTCGCTTGCGGCTGTCGAATAGATTGTGAGGCCTGAAAAATTGTCAATGGATTGTGAAATCCAATTTTTATTTGACTAACTGGATCAGTTCTGTTCTAAGTTGACCTCCACCTAATCGGATTCTACAGTGTGAGCTTCAGAATCCAATAAGGATTTCCAGTGGACAACCTATGAAAATTTGTACGCGATTAACTCGTATATGTTTACAAACTCTTTAAGGGGCTATTTGTTTTGAGTATTTTGCCTCCGGATGGCAGCTTTCCACCCCCTCCCCAAGGCAAAAAACTCAAAACAAACAGCCCCTAAGCTGCAAACGAGGTTCACGTTTGTCATCCGATGACTACCAGCTCGAATTCCAAACCTGATGTCCAGAGCAAAACTATACGGCTGCAATTAATTGTAGGCATAATTACAAAACTATGCCACTACAGTTTAGCTGTAAATTTCGAACTTGTATGTATCTCTGAACTAAACAATTGCAACCATTTAGACGATAGTTAATTGCAGGTTTTAGTGATATTTATATTGCAACGACAATTGAGCGAAGCAAACATTCCCTTACCATTTTCCCTAAAAATAGGGTTATTTGCGCTTTGATACCACAAAATCTTCTCCACTTCAATTCTAACTTTGCCACCCCAAAGCTTTTCCAGCACTTACCCAAGTTTGGGGAAAATATGCATAATCTTTGCGTATTATTAAAGTTAAAATATGTGTAAACTCTGGGGGTAACAAGTGCATGAAAATTCTCTTTCGGTATCATCGAAGTCAACAAACTCGTAAACTTTAGGAGTATCAAAGTAAAAATAACTAAAATAAAAGAGACATGCAGATGATATACACCACTATTTAGGAAATAACCTGGTCCCACCGGCTGCATCATCACGTTCACCGG